TTTGAGGCAAGAATCATCCCACCCATTTTATAGATGAGTAACTGAGGCTAAGAGGCTCAATGACTTGCTCAAAAACTTATAAATGTAACTCTGCTGTCTTGTAAAATAAAGAACCAAAGAAATCAATAAAATCCATCACAAAAGTAATATTTAAAATGCTACTTAAATATTAAAGTGGGGGGTCAATGGAGGGAAAAAGGAGACATCTGTAATACTTTCAACAATAAAAATACGTTTTGAAATATATCTATTAAAGTAGTATTTGGTTATTATAATTGAAATAATGTACTTACATTGTTTAACTATTAGAGACTTCAGAATTTTTACATTAGTTTCTTCTTTGGATCATTCATTCTTTTTTACATTTTGTCATTTCATTTTTTTAAAGGTTTACCTTAAGGTTCACCAATGTCTGTTTCTTTACAAGGAACTGGAATCTTGCCAAAGAATTACAGACTCGAGGAATGGGTGACCATGAGCACAGGTCAATGACTCCAAGCACGACTGTATGCAGACAATAAAGGAAATTAGGGCTCCCAGAGCAGGACCAAAAACAATACCAACTCCTTAACACTTGCCTAAAATATCTCCCAAGGATCATATATGTCATCAGAGTCAGAAATTTTGTTTTTTGAAGGAGGAGACATAAACCAATGCACTCTTTCTCCTTTCATTAAATCTAACAGTGTGGCAGGCTGGATCTCCAGTAATACCAGTGGGATCTAATGCTAACTAAGTGCTCCCCCAAATCAGAAGCCAGGACAGCCTGGCCTGAACACGGACATCGAAATCTTCTCTCTGCCACCCACATGGAGTCAAACTCCAGGTTGTTTTTACAAGTGACTAATCTCTTAGCTTCATGAACTTTGGTAATAATAACAGATTGAGTCATTAACCAAGAATACCAGGAAGAAATGAAATGATCACAGGATGCTCAAAAACAATGAGCACATGAAAAACACTCCCTTCAACTTGCTAAAAGTACAAAAAAGAGTCTTTATAGGACCTGTTAATTCTCTCTTTTTTTTTAAGAACAACAATTTTTTTTTAATCCTCCCCCAAGGACATGCTTAGAGAAAGGAAGGGAGAGAGAGAGAAGCATCAATGAGAGAGAGAAACATCTATCGGCTGCATCTGTACATGCCCCGGTTCTATACGTACCCCGACTGGGGGTCAAACCCCCAACCCAGGCATGTGCCCTGACCGGGAATCGAGCCAGCAGCCCTTTAGTGCACAGGACAATGCTCAACCAACTGGGCCACTCTGGCTGTGCTAATTCTTAAATATATATTAAAACAGACAAAACATACCTTCAAGGTTCAAACAAGTAAAGGAAACCTCAAAATCTCAGGCTAAAGGTGAGAAGACATGCAGAGGTGTATATGGGACAAATACTCTTGAACTATATATACCATGTTTAACAAAATAACACTTTAAAGTAAATATATTTGTCCCTTGATTTAATTTTGTATCAAATATACAAGCAAAATTTTTACTGAAGACAAAAGATTTGCCCATTGAGTTTGATATAGCAGATTACGGCACATAATGGTCATCCAAAGCGTGAAATGTGAGGATATCCTTCTACTGTGTACCCACATGGGTTTGAAGTAACCTTAGACTTAAGTTGGCACTGCTATTCAACTACCAAGTTTCACTGGACAATAAAACTTCTGAGTGATAAATAAAATGTGGTATGTCCATACAATGTAGTCTCATTTGGCAATAAACAGGAATGAATTACTGATACATGTCACAACATGGATGAACCTTAAAAACATTATGCTAAGTGAAAGAAGCCAGTCACAAAGGATCACATGTTGTATAATTCCTTTTATATTAAATGTCCAGATTAAGAAATCCACAGAGACAGAAAAATGATTAATCAGTGGATGTCTGGGGATAAGGGCATCAGGGGGAAATGGAGAATGAGTGCTAATGGGTACAGGCTTTCTTTTTTATTGATTTGAGGGGTAGAGAGAAACATCTACTCATTGTTCCACTTATTTATGCATTCAATGGTTGGTTCTTCTATGTATCCTGACTAGAGATCGAACCCACAACCTTGGCTTATGAGGACAACATTCTAACCAACTGAGTTACCTGGCCAGGGCAGGATTTCTTTATGGGGTGATAAAAATTTTCTAAATTTGATTGTGATGGTGGCTGTACAATTCTGTGAATTTACTAAAAATCACTGAATTGCACACTTTAAGTGGGTAAATTGCATGGAATGTGAATTATATCTCAAAAAAGCTGTTACTTTTTAAAAAACTTCTACAGTCTTCAAGCCATAATTTTTAGGCTTTTTTTCATAAAAACCTTAGTTCAGCTCTCTTTAGTTACAATGTACTACTAAGTCCCTTTCTTTTAACTATTAAAGCCTTTCCTTTTAGAAATACGTACAGAAGTATTTAATGGCTGAAATTATACCTGGGGTTTGCCTTCAAGTAAGCCGGTGGATATTAAGAAGGGGGAAAGGGTGTGGGTATAAAGTGGCCATGTGTGTACAGCTACCAAAGCTAGATGATGGGTAAACAGAGTTTCATTTCACTATCCTTGTTATATTTGTTGAGGTTTGAAATTTTCCTAATAAAAGATCACAACTGGAGAGTGATTCTTAAGACTTCCTGGTCATTTCTATGCTGTCTCTCTATTCTGTTTATGTTTTCTTTTTTTAAATAAACACATATTGAAATATTTACAGATGAAATAATGTGATGTCTGAGATTTGCTTCAAAATAATATAGGAAGTGAATCTGACAAATGGAGTAGGAAACATAATGGAGATAATTCCTCCCCTGCTTGGAACACCCATCCTCCTGGAGTTATCAGAACACACAGACCCAGCAGCAGAGCCAGGAAGAGGTACAGATGCAACAATTGTTGGATCTGGGGGAGGATATATGACGGTTCTTGCACAGTGCTTAAACAGATGTAAAATTTCCCATAATGCAGAGTTTTAAACACAACACCACCTCTCTCACACACATACATGCAAAAGGTAAGCTACTGGTGAGACTTTTTTCATAAAACTAGGTAGAGTCATGGTGCCTAATGCCATCTGAAATCCTATTGAGATGCAGTACCTGTTGTCACTTTGCAAATTGAGGCCAACCTCAGAAACAGGCCACAAAAAATAAGAATAATGAACAGTTGCAAGTTTGCATATAGAGCTAGGGGCCAGGAGGTGGAAAACATCCCTATAGAAGAGAATTTAGTTCCAAATAACTGATTCTTTCCCTAATCTGGTTTCCTGGGTCCTAGAAACAAGGACACACTGAGCCAGCAGGTCCCAGTGAAGAGCCTTCATCTTCTGGCTGATGGCCTTTTTTATTTATTTTTTTAATACTTCATCAACTCTAACTGTGCCTCGAGTGACATCTAAGTGCATTTACCTCTGGAAAAATTCACAATAGCACACCTGATTTCTGGTTTTAATTTTAAAAGGGAAAAAATAGTTTTCAATAATCCTAAACTAGCTGTCCTTAAGAAGACGAGATTATGATTTAACCAAGAGCAAATCCCTAAAAATGTATGCCAGTTTCATTTCTGGCCCATGGCATTTAGAGAAATGAAATGCACCCACCATTTGGCTGAATTTAGTCTGAGAACTGGACTAAAAAGCATAATGGATCTAATTCCTACTCAGTCAGGAATACTCCTCCTCCTGGAGTTTTAAAGAACACTCAGGGAGGCCAGCAGGAAAGCCCAAGAGCAGGGCTAAGAGCATGGGATTCTTTTTACCTGAGGCATAGACTGTGAACTCCAGTTGTTAGCACAGCATGGGTTGTGGCACAGTAAGATCACCCAGCATCAAAGTATTTCAAAGGGGAGCAAACTGGCATCAGTTTAAGTATAAAATGTCAGGCGAGGCTCCAGGTACACAAGGTTCTTAATGTTCTTTTCAAATAATGACTTTGGGTTTAATGAGTCCTCCCTATAGTCTTAGAATCTGGTCTTGAATCTGGGTATGTGTGGACCTACAAATGAACAATTTTTATGCATTCAGAACATATATTCATTACAGATCTTAGTCAAAACTACAGGCACTCCCATACTTTTAGATTTAGTTAGTTCATGAAAAGGTAATTTACTTTAAAATGCTCATCTTCCACAATCTTTCCACAAAGACCTGTTTCCAAGTCTCTCAACCCAGGCAAATTTCAAGAGTTTGGATGCCTTGAAAGCTGTGAAATTGCTATGAGACAGGGAAGAGTAGTCACCCAGTGTCCACAGACACTGGAGGCTGGCACCTTTGCCCAGATCAGCCTGTCCCATTGGAGGAGGCAGGGCCAAGTCCCTGAGGGGGACAGACATCTCCAGCTCCTCTTCCAGTTCCTGGGGTGTTGGAAAGCTCATACATAATGATAGTTCGGGTCCTGGAGAATTAAATTCTGTACAGCAGCCTGTGTGGTTCCGAGTGGGGGCTTAGGGCCTTCCTTTAATGACCAGGTACAAGCACGAATTTACACACACCCTGTCATTACTTTTGCACTCATCCCCAGATACATTTCACATTTATCAGGTGTGTTAAGGGGGAATAAAATAAGTGTCACTTCATCCACCCTACAAACACACCTACTATGTGCCAGGCACTGTTGATAACATCAGTGAACAAAACGTCAAAATCCCTGTCCTCCTCACAGGGACACTGTCAGCGAAGTAAACATTCCAAGGCCAAAGAAGTTTAATAATTTCCCCCCTACTTTCCTGAAAACCCCCTTCCCCATCCTTCCAACCTCCCAAAGAGCTGGAAATCTGTTTGATTCTATTTGTTTGACAGGGACAGCAAAATCCTTTAGGTTACGAGAAACAGACACCGTCCAAGTACAACCCAAAAGGCTCTCTTGGAGCCTTTTTTCCAAAAACTTCAACCCGCCTTTGGGGCTATGCTTCCCACCTGCAGCCCTGGGAACCCAATCGTGGGGCAGTGGAGGGGACCTGCCAGTCCCCTGGGTGGGCCCTGCGGAGGCGAGAGGGGCGCACAGGGCACTTACCGAGGAGCCAGCCCAGAACGGGCAGGAGTTCTTCACCTGCGGGGAGCTGCTCAAGGATAGTGCCCCGAAGCTGAGTGCCACCATGCAGCAGCCCAGGATCAGCTGCAGCAGCCCGAGCGACAACAGTGGACGGCCGGGGAGCAGCGCGGAGCTCGGGGCGGCAGCGGCGGCGGCGACTGCCCGGCGGGAGGAGAGCACGGTCGGTGGGGCCAGCACCCCGGAGGCGGTGGC